ACCAGGGTTCACCCTAACCCTAACATGGATTCTGACAGGAACAGTCCTTCACGCCCCCTGCAAGGGGGATTCCCTGTGGTTACAAGTTCAGCTCAGAATAAGGCCTCAGTAGGCCCAGTCCTTCCAACTTACCGTACGGATTGGGGCCATCCATTGACCAGGGGTCTTTCTGTTTGCTGGATCAGGAAGAAGGTCCTGAGCCAGTTTAAAACCAGACTGTTTATCCAAAAACCCGTCCTTTGTCTGCTGATCCCTGGAGAATCCAGTTTGAACTAATATATGCTAGGGATGTAAAAGGTTAACTGGTAAGCATTAGGCTTACTGTTAACCGACCGTAACCATTAACCCTGGCGGCCCTGTGCTGGCTGGAGGGATCCCAACCCTGGCTGCGCCGCGTGGGCAGGAGGGGTCCCGGCTGCACCACACCAAGCTATCTGGCCAGAGGGACCCCAGCCCTGGAGAGGTCCCAGGCCCTGCTGGGCCGGGTTAACCAGTTAAATGATATAATTTAAATCATTTAACTGTGTAACTTTTTAAACTGATATTTACATCCCTAATATATGCATACCTCTCCAGGGGAGTGGCATGAAAAGGGTTGATAAGGAGGAAGTACATTAGTATCCCCCCTCCTTACTAAGGAAGGTACATATAATGCCACAATAACACATACACAGTTGCATTTTAATACAGTTTACCCCAAAGGTATTAACCCTAATTCCATAACTTTTATCTTCATTCTATACAGTTCATTCATGATATTGCAGAATGTTGTCAGTCTGTCACGCTTCTCAGCATAATCATAGAGCAGGCCCTTATATAAGCATGAGATGTTCATTTAACATTTGGCACTTCTGAAGGGGGATAAAAAGTTGTTAGAACATCTTGCCAGTATTCTACAAATGTTGGTTGACCTTTGTAATGATAATTGGGTCTTGCTGATCTTATTCTACTGTAAAGAGTCCAGTCTCTTCTAGACGTTTGTGTGACTATTTTTAGGTGAAATTAGTAACTCCTTTTCCCACTGCCTATCCACCCAGATACTCTGGTGGATGACTCCTCCCAATTAAGAAAGTGTTTTTTAGGACACACACAAATGTAAAATTAAATGAAGTATTTTGAATACAAATGATACGTAGTTTTCTTTGACACATTCTGTATTAAGACTGGAGTTCACAATTTCCCATCTTTTTTTGACTTGGTTAAGCATCACGTGTCACTGTCAAATGCATCGTTATTCAGGGTCCAGTTCCCACTGAGATCATTAGGAATTATGTCATTGACTTGTATGGGAGCAGGATCCAGGTCTGAACAAATGTACAGTCCTGATTTAAGTAGCAATCCATAACCTTTGTTATTATTAGGCTATATTAGTTCCCTGAAATCCTGACAAAGGACCCAATTCAGCGAAGCCCTTAAGCACTGACTTCAGTTGGAGTTAAGCATATGCTTAAGGGCTTCGCTGAATTGGGGCCAAAAATGCCTGTCCTGATTAAGTAGAGTAACTGATATGCAAAGGCTAAGTGGCTTGCCAGTTCCTAAATGGAATTGTCCAAAGGTGGGCACGTAAGGGAATGCTACACTATCTGGTATTACTATTCCTGCTAAATAGATGCATGATACATTGTCTGTCTGAATCTACATAGCCTATGGGTGACCCTCCTTGGGACAGCTCTGTGATGTCATCGTAGGCCATGATCCTACCATGTGCAAATAAGGTGACCACCCATCCCAAATTGGGTGGGACAGTCCTGAAATGCAGAGTTCAAGTCCCAGTCCTGGGCTAAATGACTCTGGGACAGCATTTGTCCTGGATTTCCTGTGGCGCTGCTCCATGCTTGCGTGAGGCTCAGGGGTGGCCCCAGCCTCTTGCTGAGGTTGGCCTTTTCCCCTCGCCATGAGGCCCCATCTCCTGGTCTTTCTCCCCTGGCCAAGCCAGAAGCAGGAGCCAGGCAGTAGTAAGAGCTGCCCAGGGAGTCCGAGTTGCTCTGGAGAGCCCTGGACCTTCCACCTGCCCTGGGGGTGGAGACATGGGACTGGGGCTGCTCTAGGGCCCCTCGGCCCCCTGCCCAGGGCAGGCGGAGGGTCCGGGACTCCCCACAGCAGCACAAAAGGCTCCTTGGGTGGCTCTTAACCTGGACTGGCTTCCAGCCTGGCCAGGGGTGGGGTCTTGGGGGAAGAGGAGGAGTGGGGGGTGGGGTCACAGAGAGGGGCGGCATCTCCTACATGTGTCCTGCTTTTGCCTTTTGAAAAGGTGGTCACGCTACATGCATCGCGTGGTCTGACTGCTGTGCCTGTAGAGAACCCCACTGGGACTCCATGTGGATGCAGCAGTTCGCCTGCATGTTTCAGGATTGAGATTCATAAACTTTTTGGGTCAGGAACCATATTTTTCTTTTCTTGTTTGTTCAACACCTAGCACAGCAGGGCCCTAATCAGGATCAGGGCCTGTATGCACTTTCCAAATGTAATTAATCCCCTCTTTCCTGCAGCCTGCCCTTGTCTTATAAGTATGTTCTTTGGGTTTAGTGGTACACAAAGAGATCAAAGAGAACCAGTCAGATGGGATCTCAGGAGATTATTTCTTTTCTTTTAATAAAACAAGAATATTCTTGAGATCAAACGTGTCTGCGATCAGTCGTTGAGAAGGTGGCCAGACCTCCCTTTGCTTGAAGGCAGGTATGGCCGATCAGCAAGGAAGTGTAGAGTTTCAACTCTATGTAATCATTCTCTGGGATAGTGAGGATACTGCTGTTGGGCAAGAGATTTTTGCCTGCTCTGTGCCAAATTCTGCCCTTTAAAAAGTCCCATGTAACCCCTATTGAATTCAAAAGGGGTTGCATATAAGTAATGGAAGGCAGGATTTGGTGTGTGAGGAAAATGGGAACTTGAGCACATGAAATAGAATTCCCAGCTAGAGGTGTCCTGTCACCTTTTTGGTATAGACAGATATTTTCTAGCCTTCAAGAGACACTGGCCCCAATTTGGGAAAACACTAGAGCGCTTGCTTCAGTGCTTTCCCAGGTAGGGATGCTTTCAGAGTCGGGTCTAGTTTGAACTTGATATCTAGTCAATTTGGGGGGAGGGAGGGAGAATGTTACGTTGCTTCAGGTACTACTGTGTTTGCACGGTGCCTGGCACAGTAGGGTCCTGTTTGCAGTTGGTCCCTAGACAATACTATAATAAAAACATCAGCGCCTGGGTCAACCTGCAAATCTTTGTAGCTTTACAGTCTTGTTTCCCTAATTTAAAAATTAAAATCTGTCCCCTACCCCCATCCCTCCTCTGCACCAGGTGATATAGCAAGAGACCCACACAAACAAAATTGACTGCCTAAACCAAGGGAACAATGAAACTGTCTGTACACGTAGGGTTGTCACATGCACAGAGTAAACATAGTGGTAAAAAGGAAATGTTTCCTTCCCACTGTCTTTCTATTATTTCAGTTATGGGTGTTGCTTGTAAATGATAGTAGGCAAAACAGTTTGAACAGAAGCTTAATTTTTGAGCTGACATCCTTGTAGTGCATCACTTTTCTGGTCAAATGTGCTAAAAAGTTTTTTTTTTTTTTTCCCCTCCTTCTTTGATAAATTGTATTTAAATGTTTGTGCTTCTGAAGTAGAAGTAGTAAGTGTGTGTGTGCATGTGAGAGAGAAATATAAATAAGAGGAAGATTGGTTAATGGAATGGAGTTGGCCAGTGTTTAAGATAGCATTCAAGCAGAATGGCAAAGTAACATCAGAGCAACTAATTACAGTTGCACTGTTCTGCAATTTCCAATCTTAAATGAAGGCAGAATAAAATTAGGTCACTCTAGCCTGCTCTGCCTCAATAAGTAATGGAACCGGTCTGCTCAGTGGGATGGAAGTTTTGTTTCAAGTTCCTTCACAGCCGTCTCAGTGTTTCTCTTAACTCTCTAATAATTTGCCTGGCATCCTGAGATTAGGAAGAGACAGTGAAGCTTGGCCATTAGTATAGAACTGTTTCATGGCTTTAATGTACCGAAGATATAAATAGCGCGCTCTCTCTCTCACCCCCTCAACAATAGGACATGACTGCAACAGGTGTTGTCCTGTGCTAGTATTTTGCATGGTACGAGTACCCAAATACATCTTGAGTTTTGTATTGGTTTCAGTGTCCTCTGGGTGTTCTTCTTTTGTTGTTAAATGTCAGTTGACATTTAGCAAGTGACAGTTATAAACGAAGATACTCGTTAATGTGGTAGGAATCAGCATTTTGGGGGGTGAGGCGGGGTATGCTGTTTCTGTGTACATTCTATTTATGTGCAGTGCTCTGAATTTATGAGCAGAAAAAATAAGGGGACTCTAACACTGGGCATTGGTAATAATGGGACATAGAATCTCTTGAATGTGGTTGAGCCTGGTTTGAATCTAGCTCAGGTCCAGAGTGACAGAACTGTTAAAGTACTATCTATAATTGCTGGGAGGGCTAGGGCCAGATTGTGATACCCTTAGTGTCCAGCTATACAGAAAGGAGGACAGCAGACACTTTGTTATGAGTTTAAGCAGCCTACAACTTCATTATTAGATGTCTGGGACTACCTGGCAGATAAAAGTTTACAGTGCAGGTAACCCTATGTTCATTCCACAATTACCCAGGAGGCTTCCGCCAGCTCCCCTTCTTTTCCATCCACGTCATCCACTCCCCCACTTTGCAGTGAGAACGCAGGCTACCTGGTGTTCTCAGCAAAGAGGCCAAGCAGTTTAAACAGGGAGAATAAAGCCTGGAGAGGGCTTCCTTAGACCAGGCCAATGTAGGGAAACTTGCATTGCCATTGCTGATGCTCTTGGGTACTTTGAATAGAGGACGTTTGTTTCTAGTGATGTTAACCTGGCACCTTTCATGAGCACAGTGTTTCCTTGCTGTCACTCTCGTTCACACAAAATTAAAAATAATGTGCAAATAATAAACAGGGGAAAGACTTACCTTGCAGTTACTGTTAAGCATCACTCTTTCATTTAACTCATTTTTCTCTCTGTCAGATGCGAGAGTTGTGTGGAGCTGCTGTTTGTCCGGGGGGCCGGAAACTGTCAGGAGTGTGATACCCCGCTGCGGAAAAGCAACTTCAGAGTGCAGCTCTTTGAAGACCCTGCCATCGACAAGGAGGTGGAAATTCGGAAGAAAGTATTGAAAGTGTGAGTATTGTAGTTCAGAAAACTAAATTCAAATGGACTTAAATTATTTCCATCTTCAAAAAAGGATTTATTTTTGCCAATGGGAGTATGTGTGTGTGGATCTAAAGATTCAGATGTCTTAATTTTGTTTTGTTTGAAGATTTAAGTGCCTAATTTTAAAAAAGGAATTGATTTGCTCTGCAAGCCATGTAACTGGTTGACCTCATTAGGAGCAGAGGCTCATCATGACCTTGAGGTGTCTTTGCTTTCCTAACCAGGTCCACTCTGTGTAATGTGGGGTTGTTGTGCTTGCCTCCTTGAAAAGGGTTTACCTTCCAAACTGAATTGGCTCTAGAGTGCGAGGACAATAGTTGCTTTGTCCTTTTTGAGGTGAATCAGTGAGTGGATCAAGGAACAGGAGCCTTGTTATTGTTGCATCTGGACCTAGCTTTTGAACCATGGAGTTTGAAGATGTGAGGGTCCCACATATGAAGACTGGGGCTGAACCCTGTAAGGTGGGAGGGTCCTGGAGCTCCAGCTCTAGTCTGAGCCCAGAAGTCTGCACAGAAATTAAACAGGCCCTACAGCCTGACCCTTTCCAGCCCATGTTGGCTGGCACTGGCCAGCCCTGAGTTTTTCTTTGCTGTGTAGACATATCCATAAAGTCTTCTGTGTTTGACATACAAGTGTTGGTAAAGAGTCTACCAACATTTCCTGAATCTTTTCTTTTGTTTTATTATTACAGACATACTTGCTGACAGGTATTTTGAAATAAAGTTACCAAAAATAATTGAAAATGGCATGATTATATTGTTACTTTATTATATTGTGCACAGAATTTTTAGGGTGTGGGGTTTTTTTTGTGTGTGTGCAGAATTCCCTCAGGAGTAAAATTGTTGTTCTCTCACCTTTACTGCTGAAAACTGTTTTGGTCAGAAATAAAGGATTGTGTGAAAGAGTTACTGATGCTGAAGAGATGAATCCCACAACATTTTATGTTTGTCTGTCTGTCCCTCATTTTGTGTCATTGTTGCGTCCCACATGCGAGCTTTGAGAGGTGTGGGTGCCTGGGCTCAAATACGGTGGCACTTAATGGCTGCACCAGAGCTGGACACAAAGCCAAACTGCATACTCTTCAGCCATTTCCACAAGGAGCTGAGGTGGTTATTTTCTAGCTGAGAGTACTCCTAGTAAGTCTGCTCCTTTTTTTTTAAGTAGTGTCTGAGGAGCTGATTTGGAATTGGTACACGCTAGCCTATGCCTCCACTTCTTTGCAGCTCCAGAAACGTGATAAAGACTCAGGTGTAGCACTGGTTCAGACAGTGGTGGTCTCTTCACTGGGGAATGGGCAGTCCTGTTTCACTTTAAAGGAGCCATATAGTATTCTGACCATAATAATCCTTGGCCATATATACCATGTATGAAGTGAGCCCAGTGTTGAATTCAACTGCCATCTCGGTGCATTATGCAAACACTAGTTTCTCGTCTCTCTCAGATACAATAAAAGAGAAGATGACTTTCCCAGTCTAACGGAATATAATGATTTCCTGGAAGAAGTAGAAGAAATTGGTAAGTCTTAATGCTTACATTTTTGATGTGCTGTGCTCATGAGACCACAGGCTTTTATCTTCCGACTGCCTAATAGAATATCAAAGCTGCATTTCTTTAATAGGGTTTATCATGGTATCTGATGTTTATCTAATTACTTTCTCCTTACATTTTTAATCATATTTGTCCAGTTGGGGGACATATTTAAGTAATAAACATTTTATCTGCAAGAGAAAAACTATGATGCATAGAGGAAGTGGTGTTCTATTGCTGGAAAGGAAAGGCACACAGGGCATTGGTGGTGCTGCAAAAGAAAAGATTAAACGAAGAAGAAAAATTTGAATTCTTATTATATGCCTCTGTTAGCTTTGTTTACCATGACAGCAGCCATATGGTGTCTTTCATCATTTTGCTTCTGTGAGTACAGTAGTTGGAAGCTGCTTTGAAGCAGATGACCTTACATACCACTCTGGCAGCATTTTATGTTGCTACGCGGGAGAGGAAGGTTTAGGAGCAGACGCTGAACTCTTTCTCCTTGGATTTGCTGAAGCAGAGACTTGCCCTTTGAGGGAGGAATTTGTTTGTATTGGAGTTCATTTTCCACTTTTTTAGAGTTACTCAAGATTTATGGAAAGGTGATGGAGTCTGCATAGACAAAAATAGAAGTGTTCAGAGGAGTCGCTCTTAAATTGTTTGTTTGCTTTTTGGAGGAGGACTGAAGGGGCTGGGTACTTTCAGGGAAGGCAATGATTTAGGTTTAAAAGAAAACATGAAGGTGATCTTGCTCCCTTTTAACTCTTCAGCAAAGAAGAGTAAGCATTCCTCTAAACTTTGTTGGTGTTAGCTTCAGAGAGTTGCATTCCCCACCTTTTCAGCTATAAGTAGCATGTTGTTGTGTTGTTGTTGGCATCAGAAGGTAGAAACTGGAGAGCTAATGTGTTTGTCTGGGAAACTTCAGATATAGCCAGGCAGGCCAAAGCCTTTGGGAGAGGTAGGTAGAGTGTGTGTGTCTGTGGGAGGTTCTAGCAACTTAGACAGATTGTTGAAATGATGCTGGGAGAATCTATTTTGTGCTTATGAAACGGAAGAGAATATTTTGCAGCATTTGCCATAGGGGCTTCCATCTCATTATTGCTATTACCATGGCTTGAAACATCCATTCGCCTCAGATGAATGGAAAGCTTGGCTGAGTGGGTAGGAGTATGTGCACCATCAAGTTTTCTACAGAGTTTTAAGATTCTATTTATATTTCTAGCTCTCATGGTTGATGTTAAATTACCAAATGTGAACCAAGTGCAAATCAGTACCATGCTATAGCGCTGCATGGCTGACTGGCCCCTATATAATACATGACAATTGCTGTTGACTGCTGATACAGCACACAGATTAGGAAGCTGGTATAGGTGGAAGCAGAAATTGACCTTCCATTGAGGTTGGTAGAGGTCAATAGTGGATTGAAGTTCAGCTTCACCTTGCTCTGGATGCCTGGTAAATTTAAAAGTAAATAAATAAATAAGCCGTAAGACCTAAAATAAAAATAGGTTTCAGAGTAGCATCCATGTTAGTCTGTATTCGCAAAAAGAAAAGGAGTACTTGTGGCACCTTAGAGACTAACCAATTTTTCCACTTTTATGAATCCGATGAAGTGAGCTGTAGCTCACGAAAGCTTATGCTCAAATAAATTGGTTAGTCTCTAAGGTGCCACAAGTACTCCTTTTCTGTTTGTAAAATAAAAATGTGGTTAATAGAACAAAGTATATAAAACATGGAGCAGTGTCTATCTCTGCAGCCCCTGGGACATTTTTGTTGCTGTTTCCCCAATGGTTGTTTCTTTGGAGTTCAACTTGAGCACGTCTTTTACAGTGTCTTCTCTCATTAGATGTGATCTATAACCTTATTTGAAAGATTAATTTCCCCTTCACAAGAACCCTATTATGCTTAGTCTATTTTCCTTTATTTTTTTAAACAGAAAGAACAGGGAGAACGCTGGCGATATAGCAACAAACATAAACGTTGTGGTACTGACCTGCCAATATTTCCACCCTCTCCCCCACCCTCCCACTTTGAAGTGGTTTAGAATGCAACCATTTAAAAAAATGGTAATTCCCCACGAAAAATCAGTTTGACAATTTTTAGCATATTGTAGACACTTAATTGTCATTAACACCAAGAAAAAATGAATGGGGTAAATTCTGCTTTGGGTCAGCTGGGCACAACACTCATTGAAATCAATGGGACATACATGTGCCTCACAAAGAGCAGGAATAGGCCTTAGAAAGAACACTGCTGCAAGTACAACAATGTGAGCCGGACCCTTTTTGTATGCTATCTACTCTTTTCCCTTCCGTATTGCTTCTTAAACTATTTTTTTTAAACTTAGTTCTGAGCTCTTTTTGACAGGGACTGTCCTTTTAGGATGTGCATGTACTGTACTTAGCACAGTATGGTCCTGATCTTTGAGTAGGGCCTCTAGGCATTACTACCATACACATAGTTGTTAATAATTACTGCTTTTTAAAGCATGAAGTATAGTCAAGTGGGAAAAAGTGACTACTATTCATGTGCCCTATGGGCATTTCTACTTTTCAAAGCCTTTTTTGTAGTAACCATTTTGTAGTGACTTGTGTTCATGCCAAAATTACTATCTAGTGAATGTTTACTGGATGTAAAGAACTAATGCCTGTGACTTTTTCCCTGTTTTCCCTGTGGGTCACATTAACTTCATTAACGAAGGAAACGACACAATGCAAAGGCATGCAGCTCTCTCAAAATGTAAAAGACGACAGAGATACAGAGAGCTTCTGCACCTGCCCCAGCCAAAATGTCCCTTATTTGACCTGATGGGGATGAGTAATTGGAAATAATTGTAACTGTGCAAGCACTTTAAAACAAACAAACATCTTTTTACAGTAAAAAGAGAACTGAGATGGAACATCCATAATTCATAATCTCTAATTTAGGTTTTTCTAGATGGCGTATTGATTTTTTTCCACCGGCCCCCTAAAAGAGGGTATGGGCAGAAGAGGTTGGGTTGTTTCAGCATCAACTGCAGATGGCAAAAGCAGTGTTTTGGGGGGAGGTGGTGGAGCATTGGCAATCAGCTTCGTTTTGAAGCTCTGTGCTTTCAGGGGTCATCTCTGTGCCACTCCCAGTCTCTAAGTGTCAATGAGCATTATGATGACTGCTCAGAAGCAGAGGCTAGAAATGATGGGGTAGAAAAAGTGATGTTTGTGCTACACCAATACTTACCAGTAAGTTTTTAACTTAATTTGTAGCTGTCTTAGCCAGTAATATCTACATTAAGTACTAAGTCCATGTGTATAAAATATCGCAGGATAATGATTTACAATTTTGTTTTTTTAATTTCTATTGGCTAATTAATGGACTTGAGAATAAGGAAAGTGCTAACCTGTAGGAGAAATATTCATTGACCTTTTTTTATTTTATTGGTAAGGCAGCACAATAAATCAATTTTTCCCTTATTAGGAAATAGGAAAGAAAATCTTGACTGTATCCCAGCTGATAACATAAACTTCATTATAAAGTACATTGACTGTCTGTCAGATTGTTTTGTGACATCCATACACTTTGGTTGCTTTGTAAAGTCATGTGATTCTAATTCTGTTTTTGTTTTTTAATCCATTTGTGTTAAATCTTGTTCCTGATTCTACTGTCATGGGTGGCCCTGATGCAGGAGAATCCAGGCATTTCCCTTGTGGATAAGGGCTGGGCACATGGATTGGGGCTCTTGCAGATTGTCCATTTACCTAGTTGACTGTTTAGGTCTGCTTCAGCAAGAACTCCTTATGCCCCAGAATGGAAGGGGTTGGGGTTGGGCCAGTGAATCATGCCTGCATACGTCCTCCAGCCATTCTACCTCACAGGAGAATCTTGCTTGAATATTCTTCAATGGCAAGAATTCTTTCTAGCAACAATAGCTATCTCCATTAAAAGAAACACTAATTATCAAGAGAAGGCTCAAAGTTGGTAATGTCCTCAATAGAAAGTGTGAGAGATTTTGATGATGCTGATTTAAACACCAGTAATGGATATATTTACCATAAACAATGCTGCTTTCCCAGACCGATGATTGCTTCACATGGCTTTAAGACTTGTCTCAAAGGTTAATTTTAAATCCCATAATAAACTATCAGATTGTTTTTCCTTTTGTTATGAGATTAATTATTAGCATTGTTAAAAATAGAGATTATCTCACTCTGTCAAGGCTGGATTTCAGGAAATCTGTGGAGTTTTGCCTAAATAGAATTAAACATTTTAGAAAATACAATAGGCTTCTTGTTGTATTTCAGCAGCTGTCTAAAGGCAGGTCAACTTCTAAAGCAACCAATGTGAGATGAATAAGGAAGTAAATAATTCTCCTATACAAATTGGCTTCTGTGTCTTTACCTTTAAGATTTTCAGGCCCATTATATGAGCTTATATTATGCTTCAGAATAGAAAGTAATAAGACTGGCTTGCCTTTGAAATCTTTGCAGAATAGCCATCTGCTTTGCTAGTCATACTCATAAATTTTTTTACTAATTTTTAGCTAGGAGTAATGTAGGATTCCTGGTTTTAACTCTTTGCTTGTTGATTTGAAACTTTTTTTAGATGTTGCTATTAAAATTACACCCCCCACCTCTCAAAACCCGTAACTGGCCAAATTCTACAGACCATGTCTGAGCAACCCTCCTTACTGAGGTCAGTGTAAATTCTATGGAATTTGGCTCAACCATCAATATGGTGACACCATATTTTAAATGCTCGTGGTTGCAGTATTGTTTGTTCTATGGCTTACGTTCACCAATCCTCAAATATCTGCCGTTATTCACGGACCGAGAAGAATTCAATTAAATGCCCTTAACAAAAAGGAGCATGCCAGCCTGCTAAGCTAGGTTGTTGTAATTGTATAGCGAAAATATTTTTTTAAAACTTCGGTTAGGAAGTAGTGCTTTTAGAAGATTTAGGCATTAGACTATGTATGCTATTAATAGTTTTGGCTAGATAATGACCAGCAAAGA